CTTCTGCTTCAGGACAGAAGTCCATAGTCTTCTTCATTATCATAGGGACCTTTCAACGACTTGTATCATCTATTCAGGCAGAGCACCATGCAGAAGCTAATTGCAGGGGGGGTTTTCAAAGGCCTTGTGCTCTTCAGTCTTAATTGACATCCTCGCGGTCAGTGTCACGCCTCCTGTAGGCATCTGCGGTAACACTGAGTGCAAAATTTTTATTCGGCAGTGTACGCATTCAGATGAATGGGAGCCTCTGCGGAGGGGAGGTCTGGCGCACGATGAGGACGGGGAGGCAGAGAGAGACTCACTCGTTGTGTTTCTCAGACCTCGTCCTGCTCGACGACGACCTCAACCTCAAAGCCACCTTCATTTCTGGAGAAGAGGTGTGGAAGAAAGCACCATAGAAGAAGAGGAAGAGGCCTGCAGATGGAAACAGCTGGGAGCCGCGGTGCCTTCAGGGGACGCTGTAAAACACTCAACCACCGATGTATTGATTGTTTGATTTTTGTTGTTTGGTAGTCGATGACGAATGAATCCACCTTCCTTCCTTCTTCAGCGTTTCAGTTGTTCTTCATGATTATGCTGCTTTTACGGGAAGGACGCCTGATGCATAACGACAGATGTATGCAGATGTTCGGTCTGTATCATATTCAGAACATGTGGGCGGATTCCACATCTGGGAAACAAACGTCTGAACGTCTGAAAGTTCTGTTTCATCCATGATGGTTTTAACCTCGCGGACCGCTGACGATTCGTTTGACTCACTTTCGCTTCACGATCTTTTATCTGATGTGAGACGAGTTTCTGACTGATTAAGTGTAATTAATTGCATTTTATACAGAGAAACCTTTTGGTATTAAACAACATCAACTTTCACTGGCTGAACTTGTTTTATTATATAATGTTTGTGGGATTTGTTATCTGTAGTTTTTGATTGATTTAGTGTTTTTTTTGATAGCAGTTAATAATCACTCAGTTCAAAGATCTCTGAAAGACTTTATTAACTTGAAACGACTATTGGATTATTGCATTTTTTGAACATAATATATATATATTATTTATATATATATATTTATATTTCCCCCTCTACTCCACATACGTGATTGGAGGATCATTCAGGAGCCGGTTTAGTCATGATTTGTGTTTCCGGTGGCAGTGGGACGTCTGAACCTTCACGCTGTTAAAGACGTGTAAAACACGTGTTATGCTGATGTTGAACAGCTTGGAGCTCATTTATGAATCTGGAATATTATTGATTCTGTCTTTGTAGTTTGTCTCATTCTGTTTAAAATATGAAGACATTTCATCTTGTGTCTCCTTAAATACGTTACAGGTAGAATGTGACATCATACAACAGTGATGAGGAGGAGGAGGCTCAGCCGAGGAAGGTGGAGATGAAGACGCTGGTGTCCAGGTTGAGGGTCGCGTGCCACCAGCGGTCAGGGAAGTACAGCACCTGATGGAGGACACCAGCTTGTTAGGACCTGTGTCTTCATTCCGTCCCCACAGTCCCATCGCTCCCATGGACTGCTTTTCTATAAGGTCCTTCATGGTCCTTACAGGTCCTATAAGGACCATACGTCATCGTCTAGCCTTGTTGAGGGTGGTTATTTCCCAATAGAAACATCTTCTAAACTTGGTCTTTAGCTTCTTAAGAATCTAAACACGCCGCCGTGTTTACATCCACGTGTACTCATTTCTCCCCTCTCTGTGTACAAAAACACAGAATATCACAGTAAAAACATCCCAGTAACACATCACATCACATGTCATCTATCTGACGCTTTTATCCAAAGCGACTTACAATAAGAACATTTCAACCATCAGGACACAAACTCAGAAGAACAAGAAACAAGCTGTGATTTCCTCAAATAAGCCAGTTTACAACTTGCTGTAGATAAGAACCATTATAAGTCCAATGTAAGTGCTACAGTTAGTTAGTGTGTTAGTGGAGGTAGAGTCTGAAGAGGTGTGTCTTTAGTCTGAAGATGTGAAGGCTCTCTGTGGTCCTGATGTCTTCAGACCTCCTTCCACCATTTAGGAGCAGGACAGCAGAGAGTGGAGATCTAGTGGAGTGTTTTGCTCTCAGTTTACCTCTCCAGGTGAGATGGTGCACTCCAGCGGCGCCTCGCCCTCCGGCAGGTGGGGGTAGGTCTCCGTCACCCAGGACAGGGTGGTGCGGTTTGGGTGGAAGTGCGGCTCCTGGTCCGGCGGGTAGAGGAACCAGCGCTGTGAGAACCACAACCAGAAGCGGGTCACTCACTGAGACCCAGAGACCGAACACCCAGGGGGGGTCCTCACCTTCCGCCCGTAGACCACCTCAGAGAACCCGGGGCCGTGCCAGTGGAAGGGAACGCCGGATCCAGGACCTGCAGACCGTCACGTTCAGAACCAACAAGCTTTTGAAAACAAACCACCAGTTTGAAACTTACAAAGACGACTACAGTCGATTTAAATGATCTCTAGAAAAGACAAAACTGCCAGAAAAAGATTCTGTATTAATATCGGAAATATCTTAATGATTATGTAATGTTTTTGTTTATTTAACAATGTAACTATAGAGTTTGAGGAAGACGTTTTTAGGAGCTGAGGTTCAACCTCAAGATGTCCGTTATAAACCTGAACACAGCGGGTCGCAAGTTACAACTTAAAAAGAGGTAGAAGTGTTTATTAATATTAGTGGTTAAACTGGGAATCGAACCTGCGATGCCGAAGCTGTACGCCCGGCTGGTGTTTGGCAGAACGTACGGCGGAAACTCGTACTGGTCGAAGAGACGCTGCCACTCCGTCACGTTGTTGTCCCCGAAGAAGTACAGAGTCTCTGTGGGGGTTTATATACAGAGAAAAGAACATGTAGTTATAGTAGGTATGTATTTATAGTACATGTTATATACATATATATATATAACATGTAGTTATAGTACATGTTATATACATATATATATATAACATGTAGTTATAGTACATGTTATATACATATATATATAATAAATAAAAACAAATTGAAGCAGATTGGACCTTCAAAGCGTGTTCGAACTCACCGCTGCCGAGGGCGTCCGCCGCCTGCGGCCTCAACCACGCGTCCAGGTACTCCCGCAGAGGGACGTCCACTGGAAGACGAGAGACGGTTCAAACCATAAGACCATTAAACCAGGATCCCAATAACAAATACCAGTACTGAACACCAGTCCCAGCACCCGTTCACCTTTCCGGTAAGAGTGCGTGTTGGCCGTGCTGAGACGAACTCGCCGCTCGCCGTATTCTTCCAGTAAACTGGACCTGGAGCACAGCGACCTGAATCGCTGCAAACACACATCAGTGTACTTGTACATCATGGTGAAGAGATGAAGGGGTGAAGTGGTGATGTGATGACGTGGTGAAGAGATGATGAGATGAAGGGGTGAAGAGATGATGAGATGAAGGGGTGAAGAGATGATGAGATGACGTGGTGAAGAGATGAAGTGGTGATGAGATGAAGGGGTGAAGAAATTAAGTGATGATGAGATGAAGGTGTGAAGAGATGAAGGTGTGAAGAGATGAAGTGGTGAAGAGATGAAGTGGTGAAGTGATGATGAGATGAAGTGGTGAGATGAAGAGGTGATGAGATGAAGGGGTGGAGTGGTGAAGTGAAGAGATGAAGGTGTGAAGAGATGAAGTGGTGAAGCGATGAAGAGGTGAAGAGATGAAGGGGTGAAGTGGTGAAGAAATGAAGTGGTGAAGAGATGAAGTGGTGAAGTGGTGAAGAGATGAAGTGGTGAAGAGATGAAGTGGTGAAGAAATGAAGTGGTGAAGAGATGAAGTGGTGAAGAAATGAAGTGGTGAAGAAATGAAGTGGTGAAGAGATGAAGTGGTGAAGAGGTGAAGTGATGAAGTGGTGATGAGATGAAGTGGTGAAGGTACCGTATTGTCAGTCACATGTCTGAGGATCACCGGCCTTCTGAACGCGTATCTGAAGGAACGACATACAGGAAACTTTAGGGATTCTGGTTTCCGAATAATATTACAATATTAATATACAGTCAAAGTTTTGACAGATGAAGTGTCCAAAGATTTGACACCGCTGAACCTTTCAATGAAGTGTTGATGAGAGACAGACGAGCCGTCCAACACGTCGATGTTACAGAGACCTTCATCCTGCAGCCTGAACTCTGAGTTCAGTGACCTGAACACAGGAGATTTCAGCGTCAACGTCTATGCATAAATGTACCTGCATGCATGCATATGCATGTAGGGATGCATGTATGCATGTAGGGATGCATGTAGGGATACATGTATACCTGCATGCATGTAGGGATACATGTAGGGATACATGTATGCATGCATGCACCAAACACTGTGCAGAGGAAAACTGCTAATGAGTTCTGTACAAAACATCATTTACCGTTTTCCTAATTTTAGCTTTGGGTCAAATTAGAGTGTATTCATAGAAACTTTACTTAACGTTTTGTTTAATAATTGAGCAGCTGTCGTACACATTTGAAGTTCATTCCCATTCACGGACAAACGTTAAATGGAGCCCGTTTTAACCTCCGGTTGAGCCTCTGAAGCTGAGCCGCGTTATGCAAGTTGAATATCCGCGTTAAAACAATCCTGCAGACAGACAGACGGCATGTGTGAGATAACTCCCCCGGGGTGTCCGGGCGGTGTGAACCCGGGGTTCGGCACTCACCAGCCGCCTCCGTCACGAGGCGGTTCCGCTGCCTTCAGGCCGACGAACCATAACAGAACCAGCTGAGTACAAGTGGTTACAAGAGACGCCTTGCGGTCCATTCAGAACTGTGGAGCCCAAAACGTGGATTCACGTCTCTGAGAATCGAAAACGAACTGAGAGCCCACTTCCGGTCGGAGAGCCAATCAGAGACCACCATATTCTACTGGCTGCATGCTGCGTTCAGGCCACGTCGGAATTATGAGACACACCGTATAACTGTGTTATCACAACGTGCAGCTGCTTGTACCTCACATGTCAGAGCGAAGTATTGTATATATGCTACGTAGAAGTGAAAATGAAAGTTACCATAGTTACATATCATTAAAATATGTTCAATGATTATGTTTATGTTATTATAAGAGCTATTTAAACACGTTTATATTAGTAACAGCTGTCAGATGAATGCACAATATATATATAGAAGTACAATACTTCTCTCTGAAATGCCGGGGAAGGTGACAATGCAAGTATCTCAAAATTGTACCTCAGTACAATATGTTGTGTTTAATTGTGGGTAAACATGTTTAATAATGTGATCTTCTCAATGCAGTACTTTCATAGAGTTGTGTTAATACTTTTACCCGTTGTCACGTCCTGGCTCTTTGGGCCGTGACAGGATTGGAGTTGCACTGTTTAAAGAGGTTCAAGATGTTCTTAATTAAACATAAGACAATGAAAAACGCACAAACATTCCAGATGGGACGTGAAGGTCAGTATTATCCGTTGGAGGTGCATGAGGGAAGAGGGTGAGAGGCGAGTGCTGTCATGGACGTCTAACTAAAAGGAAACAGGAGTCAACGCGCCGTCTGCTGGATGGAGAAGAGAGAGAATGAACCAACGCTGGGTTTTCTCATCTCAGGGAGCCTCCAACCACCAAACGCAGCCCAACAACCTAAATCCCACTGGGGGGCTGCTGCCGGCACAGCAGGGGTCCCCACACGCGTATCTGAACCGCTCCTTTACTTTCTACTCTCATTACACCTTCACAAAGAATTCTGCTGGTTCAGAAGATATTTTTTAATGTATTTCAAATATTGAATGTACATTTAAGTTGGAATGTGTAGCGTTACATTCAAGACAAACAAATCCTTACTGTTAATACTTGTAAACATCATTTGTACTTCATGTATTTATGATTAAAAAGAGATACAGTACACGATAATCAATAATGAATAAAGAGGTAATAATGTCATTAAAAACATAAATCGTTACCGTTACTCTTCATCACAGGTTCATGACTTCTACAATTAGGTTAGTGCTTATCAATTTGCTTCTGCTAATACGTCCTTTATAAAATCACAATGAAGGATATTATATATACATATGATTGCTGTTTATTGAGATAAATCATTTTTTAAAAGTAGTTTTAAATAGAAAAGAATCCAATAATCCCATTGATCAGATTTCTAGTCATGTCAGTCTGGGCCGTCACTAGTCCAGCACCACCAGCGAGAACAGGACCGGCAGCAGCGACAGCAGCAGCGCCACCGACAGGGAGGCGGCGGCGGGGGTCCCGGATGTGGTCCCGTTCCCCATGAAGACCACGAAGCCCGTCTGGTTGGTTCCGGTCTGGCTGTTGATCCAGGTCTGGTACTGGGACACGCGCGCGTAGACCCCGGGGAACCCTGCCAGCGCGCACTGATCCCGGAAGCTCACCACGCCGGCCTGGACCCACCTGGATCCGTTTTTACTCACCAGCGGGCCGCCCGAGTCTCCTGAGGGGGGGCAGAAGTCAGAACACCACCAGCACACAAGTACGTCTAATGCCGGACGTTTGTTTGTCATCATTTCACAACAATATAACAAATAAAATGGGTTACAGAGACATAAAGCGATTAAGACACGATCATTTGCTCTGTTAAGATTAGTAAAATATTGACAGAAGGCGTCGTCGTGACTAACCGATGATCTACAGGTGTCATGGCGTGACGGAGGAGACTCACCTGACAGGAGTCCCGCCCCCCGGCGTCGGCTCCGGCACAGACCATGTTGCTGGTTATGGATCCGTAGGCGGCGTTGCAGCGACTGTTGGACACAACGGGGACTTGAACCTCCTGAAGACGCTGAGGCAACGGGAGAGGAACTGGAGGCACAAACATCATCATCAGAGGTTCATGTTGTATCCGACTACAAACACTCACCATTCACAACTTAAAAAATATTTCCCAGATGAAAGAAGTATTTTTAAGGGGTACATGGCTAAACAAAGGTTGAGAACCACTGCACTACGCTGCCCAAAATAGTCCCCATTGACCTCAGTGAATCCTCCTGTTGCTGTGAACGAGGACGAAAAGAAAGCAGCTGTTTGGAGGCCCGACGGCTCCACTCTGACTCAACAGGTTTCAAAGGAGCTATTCTGAGTATTTCTGTTCCATCACCGGTGAGTCACCAGGACACGAAACACCAACTGACTCCATGTCGATGATATATTCATACAGAGACGCTTATGCTGTTTAGTGTGGTCGTGATATCGGCATCATTTACCCTGGTTGGTCCTCTAGAAAAGTACATCGATACACACAGTAAAACATATGTAAACGCAGTCAACGGATCCTGGACCTACTGGATGAGACGAATCATGTCCAAACATTTTTCATTTAAAACAGCCCCTCTTTACCTGCTCTGTCTTTAAGCGCTAAGAACACAAACTGAAGTACTATTGGCAGTACTCTCACCGTCTGACCCGACGGTTCCCCACCCGGTGACCCAGCAGGACGTCCCGGCCGAGAACTCGCTCCCCTCTGCCGCGAGGCACACCGGCTGGATGTAGTCGGTGAAGGTCACAGGCGAGGACAGGCGCAAGAGCGCGATGTCGTTGTCGTTGGTCTGCGAGCTGTAGCCCGGATGTCTGATGACCTGAGAGACGGAGCGGGACACCTCGTTGAGGTTGAACAGCTGCTGGCTGTCCCGGCCGAGGTACACGGTGAGACCGGAAGGACTGGTGCTGCAGGACGGAGCGGAGGCCGCGCGTAGGTGTTTAGTAAAGGTGCACACTGTCATCACACTGGATACATTTTGGGGAGGGGAGGCGGCTAGCGCAGCTCACCTGGAGAAGCAGTGGGCGGCGCTCAGCACCCATTGGCTGTTGATCAGCGAGCCGCCACAGAAGTGTCCGAAGGACTGGTGCAGGCTGACCTGCCACGGCCAGGAGCCGGCGGGCGCGTTCTCCCCGCCCACGATGCGGTTGTTGCGCGGTGCCAAGCCGCAGACTGCCGTTTCAAACGAGAGTAGCGTAGCTTAGCGTAACGACTGGAAGCGGTTGCAAACAGCTAGCGTGGCCATTTAACGTGTTTCTTGTTCGGTTTTAACACAGACAGAAATGCAGAAAGCTGCTTTTATGGATCATTCTATCACATTGTCACTTATGTTTTAAATGAATAATGTCATATTGACTAAAGGGGGTCGCAGGTACGAGGACTCTACTCACCATCCGGCTGTGCGTCGCTTCCTGCTGAAGACAAACGTAATATGTGATCATCATCAACTCATCTGGATTCATTTCTCAGAATGTTCATTCATACAAAACTTCCACCAAATGTCTGATTATTTTCTGTCAACTCACTTTGTAAAGTAAGTGAAATAGAAATACTCACGTGAAGTACTGTACCTCTAAATATTCATACAGTACATAAACGTGTTTACTTCCCTCCGTGTTCAGCTAATTACAGAGACGGTTTTACTGTTATTTAATTGTAATAACTTCCCTTCTGGTTTGTACATTCACTCATATAAGTCATGGAGAACAGGTTTGACTGGTTACCCGGCGGCACGCGACTCTCAGTCAAACTGGCTCTACTGGATCTTCATGTTGAGAGAAACATTTTCATCAGGTGACCTTTTCTTTAAGATGCTTTGTACTTTTGTGTTTTATTCTTCTAGAAAGGACGGTTTACTAAACCGATGTAGACACATCATTCTGCGTTCAGGGTTAAGGTTAAGGTACCCTAACCCTAACCTTAACCCATATTCATGGGTACGAACGCTGAACTCAGAATGATGTGTTTCTATGTGTTTACATCGGTTTAGTAAACCGTCCTTTCTAGAAGAATAAAACACAAAAGTACAAAGCGCCGTACACAGGAGGCCTCATCACACACCTGCCTGATGGACTCACCTGTGAGAAGCAGCAGCAACGCTCCAAAAACCAGCAGCTCCTTCTCCATCGTGTGTGTGTGTCTGTGTGTGTGTGTCTGTGTGTGTGTGAGGAGCTCCACGGGAGACCAGGGGTGTGTGGCTTGTGAGGCGATGCCTCGAATACCAAACACGCCCTTCTGCCCACACACACACATCACCACACGCACACATCACCACACGCACACATCACCACACACACACATCACCACACACACACCACCACACACACACATCACCACACACACACATCACCACACACACACCACCACACACACACATCAGCACACACACACACACCGGCACACACACATCAACACACACGCACATGACCACACACACACACACGTACACACACACATCACCACGCACACACATAAACACGCACACACATAAACACGCACACACACATACACACGCACACACACACACACACACACACACACACACACACACATACACACAGACACACGCACACACACACACACACACACACACACACACACACACACGCACACACACACACACACACACACACGCACACGCACACATATACACACACACACACACACATACGTATATACACACGCACGTACACACACACACGCACGTGCGCACGCACATACACACACATACACACACACACACACACACACACACACACACGCACGCACAGACATGTGTACACACACACATATGTACACACACACAGACATACGTACGTAGACGTGCACGCGCACGCGCATACAGGCACGCATTCACGGGCGCACACACAGGGGGAGAGAGGCACATTGTTAAACGGATTTAGTAGGGACGCGTGGTCCCATCCCCACGTAATGAACCGGGGAACGGGCAGGCTTGTTCTTGGTAGAAGTCGC